GCCCAGGACCGGACCGGACCGGACCGAACCAGACCAAAACGGACCAACGATCCAGGCACATATGCAGCAGGCCACTACACTACCAGAAAAAGCCAGAAAACTGTTTTGTGGGAGAGCGAAAGCGAGTGAGCCTCCAGTCATTCACTCATTCATTTACCGTATGCGAAATATTCATTCATTGATTCAAGCAGAACTGTAGGACCATGCAATACCATGGAAATTATTCAGATATTTGCCACTCTGCTAAGGGGAATATCAATTTGGCTTAACAGGAATATTGATTGTGCATGTTCTGTCCCTTTTCTTTGATATATTTGATATCTTTGTTCTGCTTATTTGCATCATTCCATCACGAGCTGAGGCTGCCATGGTGATCATTTATTTCTCCACTGGCTTGTTACACACACAAACATAGGAATAGGAAATCCTATTTACATGACTTTATGGCAGATCCACCATCAAACTCTCTTCGGATGCCACTTGTGGGGATGCAACAGACAAAAGCTACTACAAGCTACCACAACAAAAAGTGGACTTGCTTCAAATAGCTCTATATATGATGTGGGAGGGAGTGGGAAGGAGCTAGGGATACGTACATGTACTGCAAAAGATACACATACAATTATAAAAAGATACAATTACAATTAAAATTTCCAAGGTACGCCAGGTCATAACATTTCTCTTCACGTTTAGACTTTAAATTACATTTTACGCTCTTCGATGTTTCCATCATTTTTGTGTACAAAAAAAAACAATTTGGTTTCACGCTTGCATTAGCCGAGATTTAGCTTTAGATTAGGTGCCATGCCTGGGCGGTGAGGTGTTGCCGGCGGCGCCGCCCGCTCCAGAGCCACCATTGAGTACACGCGCCTTGCGCGATCTCTTGAACTTGGCCATGTTCTCGCCAAAGACGTCGCCCGTGCGCAGGGCCGAGATGAGGTCACCGCCATTCGTGGGCGACGAGGACTTCAGGCCAAGATTGCGGGCAACGCTGCTCATGAGACCGGTCTTGTTCTTGCGATCGATGGTCCGCTTTTTGAGCTCGACCTCCTGCTTGGCCCGCTTCTCCTCCTCCTCCTGCCGTCGACGGAAGCTCTCGTTGTCGTGACGCGCCTCCGCAAAGGCGCCCAGGAACGAATCAAAGATGCCAAATATTTCGTCTGCCTGCAGCACGGATCCATCTTCACCGAACAGTCGAACGACCCGATCGAAGCGCGTCTTCATGTCCTGGAACTTGTCCTCCAGCTCGGCAAAACGCACCGATGCCTGCGTATGGAACTCCCGCATGACGGGCAGGAAGCGATCGCCCTGCTGTGAGGGCCCCGAACTGCGATGGAACTCAATCTCACGGGCCACATCCGCCAGCCCAGTGCGCAGCATCTGTATGTCCTCCAGCTTCAGCAGATCCTTGAACTTCTTTTCGATCACCTGCACCAGATAGTGGAGCAGCGTTGTGCCCTTGTCCGCGCTCGATTTGGTGTCCGCCAGACGACTGAGCGATGCCAAACGGAAGCCAGAGGCATTGCCGCGTGCCCCAAGGTTCATGTAGTTGCCTGCAACGGCAGACGGATTGAAATAATTGTTATGGATTTTGGAGATTCGAGTTTCGTGTTGATCCTACCCAAGGCCAGCACCAGTTCCAGTAACTTGCACAGACGTCGAGAGCGTGCCACCTCGCGTGAGGCGTCCATGACGCTCTTGATGCGCGGCGTCAGATCGTTGGCGGTGAGCAT